CCAGCTCTTCTTTGCTGGGCGTCGTGCTACCTCTACCTGACAACGACGTACCTTGCCAACCCCACCCACGTCCCTCGCTCGTTGTCCTCGTCGCCGCCACCCGCACACGCACCCTGGCTCACGCCCCGCGGCCGCAATCTGGCCTCTGCCATCGAGGCGTTGCGCATGCCGACCCCACCCTCGCTCGCAGCCGAGTGCTGCTGACACCAACGCCATCGTCATCCTCGCCGACGTTACCGCTGGCATGACGACTGCCACGCCGTTCATGGGCTGGGCAAACAACAAGCCGACCACGCTCCGTCCACCACAGCTGCACAGCAGCCTGGACATCACCGCCCTGGCAGTCGATGCAACGTCGTCGTTCTTCCTCGATAACGCGCTGCAGTTCCAGCTCGCCATCAAGCTAACAGCGGAAGCAACAAAGCCCTGCCCTGCTCCGCCCAGACGAATGGGACATCCGGTTGCTCGACGACAGCGAGCACATGCCATCACCCCTCCACAGACTCGTCGTCGCCAAATCGCGCACACGCTCACCACATCCATGCCTCAGTCGGACACCAGCCATTCTCTCTCCCATCGCCACACCCGAGCCACACATGCCGCGCCAGCTCCCAGCAAACGAGCACACGGCCCACAACCACACACGTATGCTGGACATCCTCTCCAGCCCGATCTACCACCTCACCTTCGTCTTGGCCTCCAATCGCCTCCTCAGCCACCCATCCGACGCCCCCAAGGCCGACGCTAAAAGCCAACCACGAACGATCCCGTTCCCATGGGCCTCACCTCCCCCCAAATCAAACAACCGCAGATCCCTCGTCGGTGAGCTGGCTGCCATGAACCCCCACTGTGCACTCAACAAAGCTGATGCCCGCCTTCCATCCGCATCTCAACTTGCATACGACTGGCCGATCGCTTCCTCACCCTGACCACTGGTCGGCCACGGCCGCGGTTCTCGATGCATCCACCGACTTGAGCAAGGTGCACGACCCGCCGATGGCGATCAACGCCTTGCTAGTGATGTTCTTGTCGTTTGGGCAGCCACCAACCTTGATCGCCACAAGGTCGCGGCGCTTGTACACCACCGCAGCCACAACGACGTCGGCCGTCTGATCGCTACCGCGCTAAACGCCGTAGACGCTGTTGGAGAAGGTAACGGCCGGGCTCTCCGGAAGCGTCTCGAGCGCTTCCTCGATCGAGTCAACAAAGCCGACGTGACCTTGAGATTCAAAGTCCATGATGGTTGTCAGCGCAGTTGTGCGGAAGCCGTGGACGTCGGCGAGCTGTGGTTCTCGCCACATCGCAGAGACGGAACCGAACAAGGTGAGACTCAGCAATGCAACACCTCTATCCCACTCACAGATCAGAGCCCACTCACAGCCGCAACCCGCCGGAAGCAGCCACGTCTTGCCTCAATCACCCGATCACCATCTCCTGGTCGGAACCCATTCTGCGACCGCTCTGCGCCCTCGCCCTCCACCACATGACTACCA